AAACATGTGGTGTAGTCATGGAATTATTGGGCTTACTCAGTTCCTAATATGCAGAAAAGTTCTAAAGTTTTGGTTACTTGAGCAAATGTGTAACAAGATTTAAGCCATATGGAATTACATTGGTTCAGAATGGACGCTATTGCTGTGATAAGAGCATTTGGCCAGGAGTTGGAGATGATTACTGGTTCTGGCTTGTTTGTCTAGTATATATGTTTCTGGGTAATGTTCTTTACCTGGTCTAGGGCAGAAACAGCCATATTTAGAGATACCTCAGTCAATGGCCTGAGTAGTAGGATCTTTCAATGGTTCCTGTTGAAGCACACCAGTTTCACATGGTTTTTGAATTTCCTTACAATTTTTATTGTGATACACTCTGAGAAATGTCAGACCAAAATCCCTTTGTGGGGCCAATATGTTTAATATATAATAAAATCATAAAATTGTAGAATTGTAGAATTGGAAGGGGCTATTTAGCCATCGCATCGAACTCCCTGCCCAGTACAGAAATCCAAATTAAAGTATCCCTAATAGATGGCTGGTTACTATCCACTTGAACACATCTCAACAAGGGAAGTTCATCACTTCTCTGGGTATTGATTCCACTGTTAAGCTGTGGTTAATATTCAGAAGTTCTAATATTCAGTTGAAATTTGCATCCTGTACCTTAAATCCATTCTTTCCTATCTGGCACACTGGATATTTTTAATATATGAACAAAAAAGAAGAGAAACATTAACTACATGCATAAAAATAAAACAGGAACAAAAAAAGAAGAGAAAAAGGAAATGATAAAACAAACAAGCAAAAATGAAATCCATGACTATGAAACCAAAAGCTCAATTCAGCAAATTAAACCTTTAACATGTGGAGCGATATTGATCAGACTTTCCGCACGGTTGATTAAAAAGCCAGTTTGTATGTAGAAAGTGAACCTGTATCTTCAGTCCAGGGTTTAAATCAGGTATAGCAAGGTCAGAGAAAAACATCTTTTGAATCACAGACCATGCTTGAACAATCCAGTTCTTAATTCTTTGATACATTTCATTTTTTGTTATATAATTTAACAACATATTCACATCTTTAACTCTGAATTCTCCTCCTGACACCACATTGACAACTTTATGGATAGTAAAGCAAGACATAGAATAGGTCCCAAACATATGAGACAATGTCTCCTTCATAATATTACACTTCCAACATACAGAATTGAAAACCAGCCTTTGCTATATATTTTTTAAGTAATTGCAGCTTAAGATGACAGGATACAAATTTAACATTGTTTAAAACTAATCATCTGATTTTTAAAACAGGATAATCCAGATAATTGTTCCAGGTTTCTTGTGAGTTTTCCATTTTCTGTTTCTATCTTGTTAATACATTTCAGTTGTCATAAAAAATTAATTGTAACTTTGGAAACCTCAAAACTTTTTCCAATTATATTGTTAATTTAATGTTAAGAATTTAGAACATTGGCATGCTGCTCATGTATGAAGCTGACACTGGAAGCTCAAAAAAAATTTAATTTGAAACATTGCCATTCAGCAATTATTTAAAGGAACGTACTCAAAGATTCATACATATTCTTAGATTCCTATTAACTTTTCCTGTTCTTTCACATCCTGGGATCTAACTGGTTATATTCCTCATACCCTCTCTGCTTCTTCAGCAGGAAGCAGTCACCTCAGCCACAGAGGACAATTGGCATCTTTTCAGGAAATGACTTTTTTACGGTCTTCTTTTCTCTCTCTTGCTGAATTGCTCTCATAAATGTGTTACTTTCCCTGTTTTGTTGATTAGTAGGATATAGTTATCTGAAATGTTATTTAAATGATGGATATATGTATATCCTACCTTTCTGCCCCATTTAATAGAAGTCCTGAGGTCACTCATAAAAAATGTTTCAAGCACAATTAATTAAAGAATAAATGTGAACAAAAGTCCCCACCCCTACCCCAGTCACCAGTAAACAGAGTTGACTAGAAAGTAATAGAGGGGAGTGGGAGATTTTAATTATTTGTGTCAAATGCACAATTGAAATGAAACAAGATTTATTAGCATTGAAATGCCAACAGAGAACAACATAATGTTCTGGAAATTCAGGGTGAAATTCAGGTACGTAGGTGATAGATAGATAGATAGATAGATAGATAGATAGATAGATAGATATAAAATTTATTTTGGCAATCTTAAAGAGTATATAAAAATAAGATGAAATGTATGCTGTCTAGAAACACAGTCAAGGTAATATAGAATAGAGTGTTTATTTACCAAATTTATATTTTTAATCTAGGTGGTGCTGTGAAGGATCAAGCAGGTTTATTACCCTTCCTTTGTAGGGCTCATATATTAGATCAATTAAAACAGGATAAGGAAGAAAATTACTTTGCCTATTATGTGTCAGATGTTCTACAGAATGGAAAAAAGCTATGATGACAGACAACAACTGTACCTTAATCACAATAAGGGATGCTAAATACTCAAAACACTAGAGTGATATTAAAGTCAGTAATGTCTAGACCAGGGTGGGAACCTGAGAGCTGTCTTTACACTTGCAGAATGTGTGCTGATTTTCTCACTTTTTGTCCCTCAAAGTCTAGACAAGGGTGGGAAACCTGTGACCCTCCAGATGTTGCTGAACTGCAACTTTTAGCTTCCCTTGCTATTGGCCAAGCTGACTGAGGCTGTTGGAAATTTGACATCTGGAAGCTAAAGATTCCCCACCCAAGCAGAGTTTGAGGCTCATACACTTAATCTAGGATGGTGGAGAGAAGAAGCCAGAGTTCTAAAAGCCCTGCCATAATCTTCAACTCTAATTGTTGGATAGAACATATATGTATGTGCTGACTTTTCTGCAGGTGTGTGTTATAGAAGCATATTTTAGAATAATGAAAATCTGTGAGTATAAAGCAATTGAGAAGGATTGATCTTTACACAGAGCTGTCATTAATGGAATGAGGGCAAGAAATTCACCCTTCACTGGTGCTTTTTTACTCATCCCATGACACTAGCCAAGGATAATTACTTTTACAACTGTACATTTTAATGCATGTACTTTAATTACAACATGAAACAATATTGGCACTTTTCTGAAAATCTACAAGCTGATCACATACAAAGCATGCTACACTGAAAACCCATATAACCCTTGAGTGTGCCTGGGCAGAGTGATAATCTAAAAGGAATGCAGGAGTGTAACTGGAAAAATAGAAGAATACTTTTATAAAGATCCAATTCATTTTCCCTTGTGTATTTCTGTAGTTACATTGTCTTTGCCTAGACAATTATTTCTCTGTCACCCGTTCCTTCTCTGCCCAAATTCCTACAAAGCCTTCCCTTCCCACTACACTTTTTGTGAAGTTTGCCACTTCCCAACCATAACGTTCAGACTATTTTTTTTAAATAAATAAATGTCTGTTTAGAATTCTACTTGGCTGTCAACCCAAGTGGTTTATTATGGCAAACAAAAACCTCTGAATTGTCCAACTAAGAGGTGTAGTTTAAAGTATAACCAAGCAAGTTGAGTAAAATTTTTGAAACACTTTTCAAAGAGTAACAGATCAGGAACATTTTAATGTTGCCTTTTATCATGAATGTCCACTGTTTGGTCCTAGCGTGCACTTAGGCTACAATAGAAATAGCAATAGGGACTGAAATTTGTCAGACACTTGCTATCCTTGCTATATGGATTTCCTGACCTCTTCCTTTTTTATTAAAGTTACGGATGATGAATAAGAAAGACATGTCTTTTCAGAAGTATACGCGGAAGCCATTTTTAAAAATATTATCTTTCAGAGAAATGCAAGGTTATGATCAAGTATCTTTTTAAAAAGGTTTGAATGTGACTTTTACAAACAGATCATATTATGATTGTTCTAGTATACATCCAGTGGTAGCATATCAAGAATTCAGATTAACAAGCTGTAAATAATTGACTACTGTGATTTTTTATGCTGTGTGAGAGGAAATCTTTCCCAAAAGAATAACAATGGAAGAGGCATCTTTTCTCTATCTTCTTAAATATAGTTCTGGATATTATTAGTGTCTTCTTTGCAAAAGGATAATAGATCCATATAGGAAATAATCTTCTTATATACAGAGAGCTCTATGTTGAATGAGTTACTTAAGTACTCCGTTATTAACAAAACATTGGAGATTTTACAAGATAAAGCCTTATTTATCTTAGGTTGTTGTGTAGTATTACAACAGGGCCACTTGAGCTAAGCTGCTTTAGTCAAAGAAAAGGATTTCCCAAAAGGATTGTTAAGCATTGTCATTTCATTTCATTGCAGCAGTGCAATTATTATTGTTCTAATTAAATTGATTAGGAATCATTGCCCTGATACCTAAATATAGTTTGCATGTAATTAAGCTACACACTTCAGTTTTACATTTGATTATCAAAAATGTAAACCTACCTTCCTTCCTTCCTTCCTTCCTTCCTTCC